TCCCCTGTCTCCTTCTTTTCCTTCATCTGAATAGTCAGAAATAAGTCTAAAGACAATAACAATAACAACGTTTGACTGACACCACTGCAGATATGTAATGTAGGAATGTTGGTTTTGGCTGCCATAAACTTACTCACTAAAAGGCACATAGGGGCTAACATGTTCATATCAGTGTAAATTAACACTCTTCTCACCCCTCATGTTTGATGTTAACTGGAAATTATCAGATAAAACACACACACTCCTTTTCCAATGGAAAGAAGAGAACACTTCCTGGCAGCCCTCAGCAAGGCACCGGCAGCACTAAACCACAAATAATAGAAGTTAATTCCACAGACCAAAGTCATGGGCTTTAAAATATGAGGGTCTGGAAATTTACCTGCACTGGAATGGCTAGTATAAAAACATAATTAAGTTGGTCTACCGCAAATGTCGACATGGTTTCTCTACTTTTTTTCAGACTGGGACCCAAATTTAGTACATTTAGCGTAGGAATGGATGGAATCCAGGCCCATTCAGACTTTGTCAATAAATAGACCTATTATGAGGCCTGATCCCTGGCTCTGTTCGATTCATAGTAAGAGCAGTATTTTAATCAGAAAAAACAATAGTGCTCTCTGGTGGCAGCAAAGAAACAGTACAACACACAACTCTATCATGAAGAAATACACCAAAAGCATGCAGTGCTACATTTTACCACCAGAGTATACTACATGTCAAGATTTCCTCAAGTTAAAGAGCCATGTCCTTATCTCACCTCACAAAACCGACACTAACCTGTAATTGAGACATAAAATAGGTCTATAAAATAAAGACTCCCTCTGGTGCTGATAAATTAGGCCAGTAGTCATTAAATTCCTTCTCTCTCAGGTGAATGTGCTCCACTAGACAGACTATATTCCAGAATATGTTGAGATACATGGAGAAAAAATGTCATGGACCAAAGTGTGTGAATGTTTTGCAAAATGGAGCAAAACTGAATCCCTTCTTATTGGGATGTTAATCCCTAAATCATTTATTGTGGGCTGCAAATGACTCCCCTAAAATCCCCTGAAAAGACTTTCAAGCTGGTGAAATTAAAGTTGGCTTTAGTGTTGATTGTGTTGCTATTTACCCGGGTGCAAAAATGATTCATACTATGTCTAATTCAATATACAAACACTTAACCAGCTTCTCAAGTGGCTGCTCCTGCACTGCTGTGTTAGCAGGGAGCAAGACGGGAGGCTGAACATAGCTTTCACCTCCCAAGGGTGGAAATTCTGTCCTAATTAAACACACCCTGACTGATCACTGTTCATATGTGTTTGTGTCTTTTTACATCTCAGTTTCTTCTTTCTGTATTTTTCTCATCAGAAATTAAACCCAAATTCCAAGCAAACATTAACTGCAGTGTGAGAAGTGGATGTAAGGATTTGCAGCTGAATAGGATTAATACATTACCAGCTTATTAAGATGAGTTGTGGCACAAGAGGATCTTCTTGCTTAATTAAGAAAAAGATCTTAAATCAAACCAGAAAAAACACCAGGCGGAGGCACTTTACTGGAGACAGGATGCATTTGTAGCTAGAAATTTGAATTGAAGAAATGCTCTTAGGTCATTTACTATAATTTAGTTTGTATTTGTATCTGTTAGAAAGGCCAAACTGTATTAATTACACTTCATTAGCACAGACATGTGTTGTTATTAACTGTGCCTGTCAAATAGAAAACACCATATTTAGACGAAGTTTTAGTATTTGTGAAGAAATATAGCAGAAGAAAAAGGGCTCAATGTGTTTTAACTGTCTCTTAAGAATCATGTGGTTCTTTGAAGCTCTGGTGCAGAGTCCCAGACCTTCCACAAGTCTTGTGCTAATAAAAGTGTTTTTGAATCTGTGTGCAGGCTCAACCATTTTTAGTTGTTTTTATGCATAATATTCACAAGAATGTACATAATCACATACACATTGCAGATACACATTTACACACATATTCTGTAAATTGGGCTTACAGGGATATCATGAGACAGCTGCTTTCTTTCTATGATGATGGCATATGAAGATGTAACTTGAAGATATTTGGTTGTTTTAGTTTTTTCGACTGATCTAAAGAACTCACAGTGTTAAAGTATGCAGTTAGGTTTCCTACACAGAGATATTGGTAATATGGTAATTTTCAACTTAATGATATAAGCCAAAGTTTTATGACACAATTTTATACTTCATTAACTGACTACTGTGCTTTTGCTGAGCTTTATTACAAGCAGAAAGAAAGCAATTAAAGTGATTAAAGTAACATAACTAAGCGGATGCTAAACACATTCCTGGCTTTAAAAATGTGTGCAAGATTTGGAATATTTTAGGGTTTGCTGAAGAGCTGTCACTAAACTGAAATACTGCTGGCTTTAATTTTACACATTAGTACACTGTTTCTGCAGGAACCTTTTTAAATACATCAATCTAACAAATAAAAACTATACTTTTTAAAATCAATACATTACATAACAAATGCTTAATTCAGTAATAGGTAAGTAAATAGGTGTCTATGAAATAACAATTTGGCTGTGATACACCTACCTGGTACAACCAGTGCTGTGAGTTTCAACATCAATGCCCTGGGAATAAATACCTGGTAGTAGTTGTGCTTTTCTTTGTCAACAGAGCACCAACCAAGACATCACAGACATAGTGAAGTACTCGGTGTACAAGGAGGGCCTTCTTGAGCTTTTTGAAATCTGCCCCACCTGTTCAAGAATCCTAACCTGATCCAGCAGGGAATCAGCACCTATCAGTCACTGTCTATTATGCAGGCTCATCTTTTGTCCAGACTGACAGGTTTTGGGAAAATGATGACGAATCTAAGAAAGTGTGTTGTCTCACAAAGCTTTCTTTCTTTTCCCCTGGTAGAAATATACTCATATGCATTTTTATTTCTAGGGCCAGTTCATCCCACATTGCTACAGTGGGATGTAGTATATGCTATGATCACTGTTTTAAAGGTACTTTCTGATTACAGGTGCTCAGTGCATTGCACATGAGACCTTCACCAGAATGACACATCACAACCATGTGCATAGATACATCCTAGGGAGGTAATGATAAATTTGTTTCTTTCGTTTATAACATTATCAAATACTGCAACAGGGACACACATAGGATATTCTGAGTAATAAAATGTTTGAGTTTTGTAGTCAGGAGTTAAAAGAAGTGTTATATCTGTTTATGATCCACTGAGCAATGAAGTGGGAAGCAGTTTCCTATGGAAAAGGAAAGGCTGATCAATATTTTGAAAGATGTGGTGTCAGAGCGATTTCCCTGGTGACAGACCGACAGATCTAGGTTCAAAAGTTTACCTGGGAACAGAAAACATGTCTGATTGACTGCTTTTCTGATGTGTTGCATTAATGTAAAGATAAGATGACTTAGAAAATGTTTTCCCCTCTAGCAACAAAGGCAACCTACAAGCTGGAGAAGGTGTTGTTGAACGAGTGTGTTCTCTGTGATAAAAGTGAGCCCTCTCTAGCAAACGTCTGCCTTGGAGGGGTTCTACAGTCTAATTCTGCGTTTTACACCAAAGAACCTGGCCTTCTCATTCTTAGGGATGCTCTGCAGATAAACTGTATATTAATCATGTTGTCAAATTAGTGTAGTAACAGGGCTCCAGAGTGCTACCATTTGACTTGTTTGTATGTGAGTAAAAACCCGGCCAGTGACACTTAAAACATTTTATTTGGTAATATTCTTGTTTTACAAATGACTTTTGTAACTGCTGCCTTTTTATTTGCTGTGGCTTTGGTACCGCTAATGGTAAACTTTGGCTTCTAGCCCTTTATAAATTATTGAGTAATCCCACACAAATATGTCTCATTTCAGACTTTATCTGGCTGTATTACATGTATCACATTGTATCCAGTGAGAATTCAGTGCACACCCAAGCGAGAACTACAGGAAAACTGTTCCAAATTAAATTTCCCAAGAGAAGGGAATATGTTGTGTCCGGTGAAGACCAAATGTATGACTGATACCACCCCGCCCCCAAGTTTGTCAACAGTTGAGTCCAGATTTTACACCAGTGTTTTTCCAACATGCGGTTGTCATTGTCTTCCGCCAGCATACCGCCTTCAGCCCCTCCCTGCACCAGAGCCGCACCAGCCTCCATTTCAAAAAGTTCTGACACACCTACATGTCATTACTCAAAAACTGATGGACAGCTTTCCAATACTTCTATGAAATGCATGAAATAATCGAACAGAATTAATGAATAAGTGTGTACATAACTATATATATACCATGTGTCATAAAACACACTTGCTCATTCAACTGAATGGCAAAGTGTGTTCAAATGTTTTATATGTGTCAGATTGTGGTTTTGGCTTGCACTGAGGGTGAGGAATAGTTTAATTTTCCCATTATTTCACTCCATAAATTTCAGTGGGGATAAATTCTATGAAAATGTGTGAAATGGAGAATCACTGTAGGCTGTGCTGCTCTGCTATCTTTATCTTTTTAATCTGAACCTAATATTATCTTTACAGAAAAATAGTGTCAAGTCATACTACCTCAGCTTTATGATCTAACGCGCCTGTGTGGTTATAGGACATAAAGTTTGGGAACATTTTCCTGTCCTGCTCATGATTCAAGGGTGTCAAGATAACCGGAGACAGCTACAATAGTTCCAGAAGTACAGTAATTGTTCCTTTAAATTAAAAGTTTGAAATATATAATAAGTATTGTAGAGCATTGGTTCACTGACACCAGAAAGGTTGAGAACCGCTGTTGCAGAGCATCAATCCAGTTAGTGTACATTTAATTTCCTGCATCTCAGTTTCTTTTTTTTACCACCAGTTCTAATAGATTAGATTAATCTTTATGATCATGAAAATTATTTGATTTAATATGTGAGTTGATGCTTTTTCTCTAAACCTGTTGCTGCAGTTTTATATTGAAAACAGCAACCGGAACTCACAGCATGTATTGTAGCTAACTTGACACTGGTCCTGATCTGCTTTTAAGGCTGTCGGGGAGGCTGGATTAGGATGAAGATTGTAGGAGTCACATGGATTTAACTTTCAAACTGGTGTCCAGTTGTTGTCCGCTCTGCAGTGACGCTCTGTGGGAAGCTGTCTGGTTGTTGTTGTAATTCCCACCTCTGTTTTTTTATTTCATTTTTGAAAACTTTGCTTGCCTTTCATGCGTTGTCATCCAGTATTCCGGCGTTTGTTTGTTTTTTATTTGGACTTTTCGTGGACTTGCAGAGCGCAGACCGGTTGCCCCTTCAGTTTTGACCATGCAGCAAACTTTGCAACACTTTCGCATCTGAAAAACCCCTGTTTTGTGATGTAAAACTTTGCCGAAGGAAGGAAAGGTTTGCGTTTATTTACTCACAATGACTGAGGAGAGCAGAAGTGAGCACAGAGCTGAAAGCGGGAAGGACTTGGAGAAACAGCTCCGGCTCCGAGTGTGCGTCCTGAATGAACTTTTAAAGACTGAACGGGATTATGTTGGGACACTAGAGTTTCTCTCGGTGAGTTTTGAGGATGTTTTTACCCTGACACCGCGCAAAAGTGCATGTTTTTTACTCAAGAGAATGAAACCCCAAAGCAAATAAACAAACAAACAAAAACAGCCAGCCTGTTTAGTATGCAGGGTGCATCAGGGTGCAGAGCAAGAACTCGTCCTGTTTCATGTTAATAACCTGCAGTGCAATTTCCCCTGCATGCGGCTGCTTTAATTAATGCGAGCGGGATGTCTTACATGAGAATCGACATTTTACATTATTACCTTTACCTTAATTATTATTATTTATTTATTATTATTATTATTATTACCTTAATACTCTCTGAACCAGTCCCTTTGATGGCTATATTAACTTTTCAGATTGCAAGTGTGAAATTGGTAAAGCAGGCACAACGAGGCATGGCACAGCTTTAGTTCTCGCACAGCCGGTGTGATGTTTAATCCTCTTCTCAGCCTGATCATAGCCTGTTAGAGGCTCATAGGGGTTTGTTTGGCAATGACTGATCAGAAGAATTTGGGGAAGTAGATCTTTTACAATTTAAAATGCAGATAAACCACAAAAACAACAAAATCAGACCAGTATTCTTCTCTTTTGAATGACCATATTTTCATATTTTTAGGCAGTGTTTACTATGGTGTACACCTTGGAAGTGAGAGTGCCCCAGTCCTGGTTGTTGCTCCCACTTTTACACTCATTACTTATATTACTAAAAAAATTGAATCCGAAGGAGAGCAAGAGCTCAAATGAATCAGGAAAACCTCTATAATGACTGCATTTCAGCTCACCGTTTAATTGTCACACTCAGGCTATTAACTTGTACTGCACACCATTACTATTCAATCCATATGATTACCCCACTTTCCACACAGCAGAGATAATACAGGAGAGTGCATTTTACTGCTTCATTCGCCAGCTTCTGATTAAATCCAGAAGTGGGGAGTCTTGCCAAGGACAGCACAGGTGGACTCAAATGAAAACCACAGGCGCTGGCACTCAGTGGGCAACACATCTCTGTCTGTACACTGAGCGTAACACTTGATTTCTGCAACACAGGAAGGACGTTCTGTCAGCTTGATGGCATAATATAAAATAACACCTAACCTCAAAGACAGGAGGGAAGGGGAGACTTTGGCAACATCTGTTGTTGTCACTTTTTGTAGTCAAGTCTTCTTTGACAAAGCTGTGGCTGTTAAGGATGTTGAAAGTCAACACACTGATATGGTGTGATCTGGATTGGGGAATGGAGGGCTTCCACCATGTTTTCTCAGCGGGTTTCAGCTTTTTAGTGCAATGGGAACTATGCAGGGAAGTCAGGTCAAAGGGGCACTGTGTTGTGTGTCATTAGGAGTGCTATTTCCCAGACCACATGTATGAATGTGTACACCCTGACCTCCCTCCCACTGCCCAGATGTTTCCAATGGAGGACAGAGGGACCAGGGAGGGGATCATGGAGCTCTATCTGGCCTTTCTTAGAAGTGGCATCACTGGAGAAATGGAGGAGGCGATTACATGAGGGGAATGTGTCCTCTGTCCTGGTGGTGGGGGTTTGGGGAATTCAGCCACCCCTCCTTCATCTCCCCTGTTGTGCTGGAACTGGGATTCATTTCAGAAGTGACTGATCCTTACAAGGCAACTCTGTTCTGGGGCCGGGAATGAAAGGACGGATGCATCAGATTGAGATCTGACAGTGAAAGATAACTATTGTTGGTTTAGCTGTGTGGTAAAGCTTATGGCGCTTTAAGATGATGATATTGAAGCTAGAAAGTAAGAGGAAGAAGACAAAAGAGTCCCTGTTATCTACTGTCTTATCATCTGGGGAGTATCATCGAAGATACTCAGGATGATCAAAGACAGCCCTACTGTGGAGAAGGGTCATACTGAAGACTTTCATCTGATCACACACAAACACACGCCTGCCTGCCCCGCTTCCTCTACTGCCAGTTACAAACCACACAAGTTTCTGTGTGTCTAGAGGTCAGAATGGAGAACAACCCGGCCCCCCTCTGTGAGACTCCCTGGTGGGATAATCCAGGGGAGCCCGAGTGCCAGCAGGGAGAGGCGTAGACGGGATATTGCTAGAGGGGTGAAAGGGAAAAGGGTAGAGCGAATCACGCAATAAATGTTGCCAGGAGGGTGAAGGGTAGTGGGGGGTGTCTCTGCAAGTGGCTGGGCTTGGTGCCTTCTCTTGTAAACCATATTTCCTGGAGGAGGAATTCCTCTGAGGTTAGGAAATGCTGGGGAACAATGAGTAGCCGAAGTTGAACAGTAGAGCAGAGATTGTGGCTGCTGATCCGTGGGACCCAAACACAATGCACCTCACACATACTTTACTCTTAAGGTAGTGGAAAACAACACGCAGAACAAGGATGATTAGAGCAATTTGTCCCAGAATAGTCTGAGCCTATTGTTTGGCCGTACTTAACCTCACGTGGGAAAATATACAGATTGCATCTTGAAGGTGTCCGTATTGGAAAGTCAAAATTTGACTTTTTTTGGATTAAGGCACTAAATTTTACACTGCATGTACTAAAGTTACACAGTAGTCTGACAGTGAGAGGAAGGCTTCTAGGGAAGTTGTCTGAAATATCTCAGGCCTATCTTACATAATGAACAATTATAGGGAGATAGTGGGCGGCGGTGGACACTGGTGTTTATCTTGGACAGCTACGAGCCAATAAAATGACAGTTATTCTTAGAAATGTCTCAATGAGGGGAACAAATCAAGGCTTAATGTAAACAGTCACTTTAATGAGGTGTTTGCCGTTCCCTAGTTTTTTTTGGTTAAAGTGTCAAATGAAATACTTTACATAATCTCCGTCATTGTTTCCAGTTTGACAGAGAGACATAGAAAGCCCTTTGCTTGCGTGATAAGCACTTAGGAGAGAGAATACAAGAAGGGACAATGGAGGGAACCTTTCATGTCCTGATTCTGGAGGGAGATCTGAGCCACAAGTTAACTTAATATATTGCAAAAAGCTTTGCAGTGCATTAAGTGGTCCCTCAGCTGTTGCCTTCCTCTCCCCAACAAAAGCCTGTTGAACTATGAAGCAAGCGCAGAGTGTAATGTTTAAAACATTTTTAATCCCTTGCATAAATTTAAATTAAATAAATATGGTTTGAGACATTATAATGCTGTGTAATCTCTGCTCTTGTCATTCTCTTTGGAACAAATTAAATTCAAGGAATATTGCATCTGTATGTTAACGTCTTTTGAACATGGCCGCATATGATTGTCTTTGTTATATTTCCTGGGCCTTCTCTGGAAACGTTATTGGTCAGCAAACTTGTCGGTGGTCACTTTAAGTCGTAAATTTCCAGTGAAAATGGCTGCAGGAAGTTGGGGAATCAAGCCTAATGGAGAAAACAGCCGCTAAGAAGGATCATTTGCCGGCTCTTAAAAACCCAGGTGTCCTGTGTGTGTGTGTGTGTGTGTGTGTGTGTGTGTGTGTGTTTGTATATAGAGGTTCCACATCTCTCTCTCGCAGGGTTTGGATTTGTTTACAACTTGGCTTGAACGGTCAGGTTGGGCTGGACCCAAAAAGTTTTCTTTTTTGCTCATAACGTATGACCAGTGGGCAGTCCTGATGGAGGTCAGGTCAGGGGGAGCACAACAAGAGGGTTCAAATGCTCTGGACAGACAGCTGATGACCCCCATAGGTCATGACCTCTTGTTCCTATCCCTTTCCTGCCTGTTAATCTGTTGACTTCATGCCAACTTCCAGCTCCCTTCTGTGTTGTAATGGAAACAGGAACAGAAGATGCTGATGGTCAGTGCGTCCTGATTTGATGAAAACACACAAACAAAACTGTGTAAACAGAGACAACACAAGCTTTCAGTGCGTGTGTTTGTCCGGTATCAGGCTATACATAGAGGCATGTTGTATTTATGTTGGAAAACAAAGCGCAAATAAGCTATTGCACTTTTCTTTTTAATAAATACTACATTAATTGAGATTAATTAATCTATAAATATTTACAATATGGTGTTCTACTAACATTAAAAAGCTTAAATTGTCATTTTAGGAGGATCTATTGGCAGAAGTGGAATTTATTATTCATAGGTATGTTTTCATTTATGTATAATCACCTGAAAATAAGAATCATTGGGTTTTTGTTACTTTAGAATGAGCCGTTTTTATCTCGTCTTCTACAGAGGCCGCCATGTTGAATTGCTGTGTTTCTACAGTAGCTCAGAACGCTAGTTTTGCAGCCACTGTAGTTTCCTACACGCATGGAAGGCTGAGCTGTATTCAGTTGATTGCAATCTGCAACTTCACTGCCAAATGCCTCTGAATTCTACAGACTAGTCCTTTAAGAGCTACTGCCTAGATCTGTTTGAGGAGATGCTGAGTTAAAGAGGGCAAAAGCTTTTTATGTTAGTGTAATTAGACACCATGTGATATAGCCCCTAGTACAGATTGTACTAAGCTATTTAAATAGTTTTATAAAAAAAGACAGATCAGACAATTCATATTCAGCATGTGCGCTCACATGATGCTGGTGAGTTTGGTTTGTATGGTTCTGAGGCTGAGAGAGATTAGAGCCCGCCAGTGGCCATTTACTTTTGCTTACATTAGCTTGTCTGCACAATGGGCTGCATTTGGTGATAAGAGATTCCACGGAGAGCAGTGTATTCGCACAGGCTGCTGATTCCGCCCTGATTGCCCTCTTCTTTATTCCTTAATTACTTACTTTATTCAGAGCTGATGATTGCTGCATCATACTGTCGCTTGCTCCATTCCTGCCTCTTATGCGCTGTACCCTTTATTATAATACCTACTAGGCTAGATCTGAATCTTCCCCATCACGGACCAGAACCTTGAACTTTAATTTAGCTTTATTCCATGTACATAGACACAAGTCTGTCTGTTCTTTGTGTGTGTTTCTAAAAGAGGTGATACGTTTTTCTCCTTGTCTCTTTTTAATTGGATTAGGTCAGTCTTTCCTGTCTGAGAATACAGACAGATTCTCTCTTGTGTCTGTACCCAGTGTGAGGCCCCTGAAGT